TAGTTGGGGTGACAGGCACACACCACTATGCTCTAGCTATTGCTTGTGCTAGGGTCCTGTGAGCTTCTTCACCTGGGCTTCTCTCCAACCATGATCATTCTGATCTCTGACTCTTCAGGTATGTAGGATTGCAGGTGACCTAACTATCAGTGCCAGGCTGAAATGAATCTTCAGTATGCTGTTACTGATTAAGAATCAGACAGAATAAGCTCTACCTTCCCCTTGTTCTTTACATTCTTTGTGTCCTTGGAGCTGTCATTTCCTCCATTCTTACATACCTGACCTGCATTTTTTTGAGAAATGAAAATAATCAAAGTGAAAACTGCTCTGATACAACTGTAAAGCCCCAAACTTACTGATATTATTTCAAAATGATGATTCTCCTAATGCAGTTTTTATGCATTAGTCACTCATCAGATATTTATTGAATGTGACTATGCCAGGTACTGTGACAGGCACATTAAGTCACAATTATTTTCATAAAACTTTCTGCTTACTTAATTGGCTTTTAAACTGTGCTAACAGAGGACTTAAAAATAATTTTTGTGTGGGCTGGGAAGGTGGCTCAGTGGTAGAGCGCTTGCCTTGCATGCATGAGGCCCTGGGTTCAATTCCTCAGCACCACATAAGCAAAAAGAAAAAAGCCGGAAGTGGCGCTGTGGCTCAAGTGGTAGAGTGCTAGCCTTGAGCTGAAGAGCTGAGGGACAGTGCCCAGGCCCAGAGTTCAGGCCTCACGACCGGACCCAAAAAAAAAATAATAATAATTTTTGTGTATGCTGTTCCTGGGGCCTGAACTCAGTGCTTGGGCACTGTCTCTAAGCTTTTTCATGCAAGACTACCACTTGAACCACAGCTCTACTTCTGGCTTTTTGGTAGTTAATTGGCTTTTTTGGTAGTTAATTGGAGGTAAGAGTCTCATGGACTTTCCTGCCCAGCCTGGCTTTGAATGATGATGCTCAGATCTCAGCCTCCTGAGTAGCTAGAATTATAGGCATGAGCCACCGGCATCTGGAGAAAACGTTTCTTTTCTATCTTTTTTATACAGACATAGAAACAGGTGATGTTTTTAAAATCTTTCCTCGCATATTGTTTTTGCCTTCTAAATGGAGTGAGGTAGATTTTTTTTCTTTTCTGTTTGCATTTGTAAGTTGTCTCTCACAAATATAACACACATGAAATGTAAATAGCTTTTTGTTCACCTGGAGCTTCCCTAGGAGAGAAGCTCTGCAGGAATCTTTGGTATTGCTGAGGAGACAGTTTTTCATGGCTATTTGAAATTAAGGAAATCTCTACAGAAAATTCCATCTGTCAAAAAGATCCTTATAGAATTGGCTGTGAGTGATGTGGTTAAGAAGATGGCTCTTGATTAAGACTGACTTCTAAGCCTTGTTGTGGTAGTTTCAGCTGGGTGGATTTCCACAACACACCTAAACTAACAAGGAGAACCAGTTTCCCCGAAAGCAGGATAAAGGCAATGCCATAGCTGGCTGGATCCTCAATACTCAGCTTGTAGAACCACAGTTTCCTTTTAAGAAGGATGAAGGCTGTGCTTCCTATGTTGGCCATCTAGTCCAAAGGCTATCTCAAACTTACATGAAACACTGATCAATGCACTCTTCTTCCACCTTGTCCATCAGAAAGCCTGTGTGCACTTAGAATTGTTCACAGCTTTTGTAGATCCTATTAGATTTGCCTCAAAGAAGAGACTTGAGATTGTCATAGTTTTCTTTCTTAACCTGGTGTGAGTTCCCTCTGTGAAAGATGGGAGGGATTCTGAATACACTCGTCCTTGATAGACTCTTCAAGGACAGAACTACACTTCCCATGAAAGTGCAGTTCTTCCATAAAGTAATTACCACTTTGACTTGAGCATGTAGACATCCTTCCATTTTTCTTCATACATTTTTCTCCAAGCCATAGTACATTACCTCTGTCTTGAAGTTTGATTGGCAGATAACAAATGAGTGCTCTTTCCTCATGACATGAGAATTGTTCTTTGTATATATAGAATTAATTGTCTATCACCTCAAGTTGTCAGGGTCTGGTGTCACATTGAGGACTAGGGATTCATAAGGCTTGATGACAGATAAAGCTAAAAAGTTAGTGCTAATGTGTAAGAAATTAGAGGGGGGAAAATCTCAAAATTCTCATGAGTTTTCTCTGACATTACTTCTTAGATAAAATAGAAATTAATCTCCATTTTTAGAACATCATTAATTTTCTTGGTTAGTGTAGATCAAATGTTATCAATTTTCAGTAAGTGAATGAAAGTTGTACATGATATTGAAAGTTGTTGATTTCATTTATAACTGAAAGTCTTAACTCATGTTTAGGTTATTGGCACAAAAATAAGCGTCTGACTATCAAACCTGAGAATGGCAATGAAATTTAGCTGATTTATGAAAATTTGCTTATTTCTAATAGAAATTAATTTATAATTATGCTTTCTCAGTACTCTACTTAAATTGTACATAGATAAGAGCTTCTATATGTGTCATATAAATTTTTGTTATATAAATTTGTACTGTGTATTTGAGCATACTGGAGCTCTCTACATTAAAAATTATTTCCTTAGTATAGCATTATACTCATACCCTACACAATTAGTTTTTGAATAGGTTCTTGGCATGATATTACATAATCATTTAGTACAATAGAAATATTATTTTCAAATACTAATTAGCTATTTAAGTGAAACAAGTAGAATCTAGTTTACAACTTACTTTACAAAGTGGTTTAATATGGTACAAAACCAAATGTATGATTAAAACTATCATTCGCATTAAGTGTGAGTCATTCTTTATATTTTCCATAGGAAGGAATAGTTGTATATGGGCACATTTTATTTTATCACAGCCTTCATGACCTTCTCTGCAGTGGAGCATCTGATGAACCACTCAGCAGATATTCTGGGACGTCTGTGATATTGGTGCCTGGGAATGCCTGCAGACTTCTGCAGAATTAGGAGTGTGTTTAGAGATTTTCATATTAGCAAGCTTTGTAAGTATCTAGGACCATGGGTTTCAGTGAAACAAATCATTCTTTAGGAGGTTCTGGTCTAAACATCTTTGGCACAGATAGAGTGACTATCAACTGTTCTTTCCTCTATTTGCATTAGAAAATCTAACATTAGAAAACATAGCACTGAATCTTAGCAGTTATGATTCTCCAGTTGTGTTTGTGATGGGAGAAGAGTCAAGTGAATCTCTAGCAAGGTGCATTAGAAGGGTGCAAATATGTGGGCAAGAACACCAGAGATGTATGTTGAGCACTCCTCTTGAGTGGGAAACAACTTTTTTCCTTGAGAATGGTTTCTATGGTACTCTAGTGGAAGGAAGTGTAGAGTTCTTTGTGGATTTGTGACTAAGAGGCTCGCTTCTCTTTTATGTATGTAGAATATCAATGAACACAAGTGATGAAAAGGACAAGTCTTCTTGTCTTAATGCATAGAAGTGTAAGTCTAATAGGATTAGAGACATTCTTTGGTTATATTGTCAAGGTGGTATCATAACATATTATTTGAACCATAACTGCTTCTGCTGGTAAGAAATTTACAGGTAAAACATTTTAGATTTTTGTGCTAAGTCCTCTTCCTTTTTCTCTGTTCTTTTTTCCTTTGCCTCACTTGGTCACTGTAGATATTTATTTGATTTCTTAACAAATGGCTTATAATGTAGATAAAAGCAAAAATGTGTAGGAAACACACTCAGGATGAAAGAACATTAGTAATCTTTCTAATGTGTTATGATAAACATGTGCTAGTTTGCTTTTACTCTTTGTAGTGCATATGTCCTGGGGGACATATTATCTAACTATTCAGTCTGTGTTTCTACAGTTACAAATTTGTCTATGAAAACAAATATTTCAGATCATATAAAACTCACTAGTGAATCAGTGAGTAATATTTCTTCTTTGAAGTGTCCTGATTTATTTGTATATAATATGATGCAAATTGATTTTAATGTAAAATCATTAATCAGGCGAAGCATGCATATTTCATGAGTTTTGTCTCCTGATGTGTAGAAAGTTTCTCCTAATACAACGTCATGGGTGCTTAATGGAGAGTGATTAGATGCTCAGAGATTTGAGAGAAGCCTATAGGAAAAATAAGATCTTAAGTATCTTTTATAAATGGTTATGCTTACAAGTACCCTGTAAAAATTAATTCTGAGATGAGGATGTCATAATGTGCCAATTCAAAATGGTGGAAAAATACTTGCTAAAATTCTCAGTTCATTCTTTTTTAAAAAATTTATTCTAAGGATTGTACATAGTGGCAAATATTGCTAGAACTTGTATTAAAAGTTTTATTTTTCCTCTTTCTCCTAAGCCACTGTCAAGTCCTTTCTACAGCAATATTTATCATAAAATGTTGGCCCTAATTCTAAGTAGATTCACTTCAAATAGTCTTTTTTCCAGATCCAGGTTTCTGGAGTGAGACCCCTGTATATAAAATATACATGTGAATTAAGAAAATTTTCAAATTTTCACATATAGCCATATGATTTTCTGTGTTGGGTGGTTTAAAATATTTTTTTAAATGGGAGGAATTGTAGCTAACTTGCAGATAGACAATTTATGGGTTTTTTGTTGTTGTTGTTTGGGGTTTTTTTTTTTTTTTCTTTACTGAAATTCTGCAAGGATCAGGGTATTAGGTGCAAAGTGGTAGTCCATTTTGACAGATGATTAAAACCATACTTAGCTGTCAATTCTGGGATATGAAAGCGCTTCATTACAAGTCTATTAATGTCTTCCATTTGAAACAGTTTTTATTCTCCAGAAAGCACTTTGAAGCATTATTTCATTGCCCTTTGTGCTCTGTGGTATTTGTTGTGAGGAAATTACTGGTCCTCTGTCAGTTCTGACAGAGTTCTGTGTCACTCTTCTCTACACATTGGCTCAATGACTGTGAACTGAGGTCTTAGGAAATATGTGAAAGAAAAATATTTTGAGATCCCAGTATTTGACAATTACTTTTTTTTTTTTTTTTTTTTTTGCAGGTACCTTGTGGTCTACAATCCTTTAGAGCAAGAGCGGAAGTCAGTGGTTTCTGTCTATGTGAATTCTCCCACTGTACAAGTGCTGTCTTACTCAGGACAGCCTATAGAGGCTCAAGTCAGTGCTGTTTGGAATGATGCACACACTATCTCACAAACAGCCTACAAGGTATGTTGTGGCTGGAAAAACATATGATTACAAAAGGACATAACCACAGTACACAGCTTGTACTTTTTTTCTTTTTTTCATCAGTTGTGGGGCTTGAACTCTGGGCCTGGATGCTATCCCTCAGCTCTTCAGCTCCAGGCTAGCACCCTACCACTTGAGCCACAGCACATTTCCAGTTTTCTGGTGGTTTATTGGAGCTAAGATTCTCACAGACTTTCCTGCCCGGGCTGGATCCTCAGATCTCAGCCTCCTGAGTAGCTAGGATTACTAGCGTGAGCCACCCATGCCCAGCTAGCTTGTACTTTTATAATTAGCCTCAGGATAGGCCCCTTGAGCAGTCCTGTTGGAATATGAAAAGTGAAAAATTTAAGTACCAGAGAAGATGAACTGGGTATTTAAATGATACTAGAGGAAAAAATAGATCCCATATTAAAATGTTAATGCCATTATTAATATATTATATGCTGTTAGCAGGTAACATGTTATTAGTGTATTATGTATCTTATATGCCTTTATAAATATATATACTAGTGAGATTATGAGTTAATGAAGTAATTATTATTCATTTTATTGTGCTAGTCTTGCAGCTTGGACTCAGAGGTCGGCATACTCCCCGAGCTTTGGTGCTCAAGGCTAATATTCTACCACTTGAGCCATAGTTCCACTTGGGGCTTTTTTTTTTTTTTGACAGTTAATTAGAGATAAAAGTCTCATGGGCTTTCTTGCCTAGGCTGGCTTTGAACCACAATCCTCAGATCTTAGCCTCCTTAGTTATTATTATTACTATGATGATGATGGTTATTATTATTATTACTGAATTTTTGGTCTGATACAACTTAATGATAATGATGATTATAAAAATTGATATATTACCCTCCTTAATAATTTTGTGTAGTTTCAACGTTCCATTGTAAAAGTAATAAAAATATCATGGAAGAATGCCTTTCTAGGGTATAATTAAGGTGTTTTTGGTTTTTTTCTGAGATATGTCTGAAAACTCTAGACTTAATTAAAAGGGGTGTGTGTGTGTATGTGTGTGTCTGTGTGTGAAATTTTCTTAAAATAATCAAAGTTAAACTGAGATTAAACGCTATAGAATCTGGAGTGTAGTTTAAATCTCTACTTCTAAAGACACAGCTATAAACAAGGACAAATTCTAAAATGGAGTTATTTCTATTTGTCAACAATTGTATACACCACAAAATGAAGAAAAATAAGGGAAGGGGTGGATCTAAGATTGGAGAAAATGTTGCAGGGGGAAAATGTTGAAGGGGTGACACAGATCAAGATGCATTGTATACATAAAAAGCTTTTTAAATGACTAAGTAAAGTTCAATACATATCCTACAAAATTAAGAAAAGTGAAGAAAGGAGTGGTTGGGAGGGTTAGGTAAGAATGTTGAAAGGGGTGACAATTGATCAAGACACACTGCATTCATAAACCACTTTGTTTACTTTGTGTAACTACTTAAAGGTAATACGTATTTTCTTTAAAAAAAAAAGCCATTGGTGACTCACTGAGCCGTGAACATTTCTGGAGACAGAATGGAAAAGTATAGAATAACTTGTTCAGATATTACAGGCTACCTGCCTTTTAGAAAATGGAGTAACTCCAGGAAGACAGACATGGTGTCTGCTACGCCTTGCTCCCTGTCTACCAAACTTCCTACATTGAATGCTTGGTGCTGACAGAACTAATAGCTGTGATATTTATGTAATTACATTGGCGATTTTAATATTAAAATAATAATATAGCTGGTCACTGATAGTTCACACCTGTAATCCTAGCACTCAGGAGGCTGAGATCTGAGGATTGTGGTTCAGAGCCAGCCCAGGCAATGAAAGTCCATGAGACTCTTACCTCCAATTAATCACCAGAAAATCAGAAGTGGAGCTGTGGCTCAAGTGGTAGAGCACTCACATTGAGCTGATAAGGGACAGTACCCAGGCCCAAAGTTCAAGCCTCACAACCAACAAATAAAATAATAATAATAATAATCTAAAGAAAGAAAGCATTCCATGCAGAAAGCATTCAACTTAGCCTTCATCTGGTCATCTATTGAGAACAGTTATAGCAGACTGAGCATATAATTGCTAGTGAAACGGTGTCTCTGATGAATTGCAGTGGTTGATTTCCTGAAGAAATTGTGATGTGATGTTATACCCATAACTTATCAACTACTTATAGAATAGTATAGCATCCTCATTAAAAAAACACACACAGTAGCACATTGCTTTTAACCAACAGTAAATAAATTAACTTTGTGTAGATTCTATTTTTCTCTTAAAATTTCCTTCCCTGTCTCTTAAAGATTTCTTTTCTAGCACATACCCCACCACTGGGACTGAAAGTATATAAGATTTTACAATCTAAAAGTACAAATTCACATTTGGCCGATTATGTCATGTATAATGCTGATGTAAAAGGAAATGGAATTTTCAACCTAAAGAATATGGCAAATGCTATGGATTCTATCAGTCTAGAGAATTTCTTCATTGCACTCTGGTTTGATGGATATGGGCTGATGAAGGTATGTTCTGAAATTTATTGTTACAGTTACTACATGTGCTGATTTCAGTGAAAGGAAAAGAAAGTCTTCTTACTTTAGGCTGCACCAAATACTTCGGTGAGGAGGATAGCATGCAATTATTGGTCCCTCTAGTGAGGCACTTCAACCACAAGCCTGATCGTGTGGTACTGCTAGTTTCCAGGCAGTGCTGTTACTCCATTAAATAATTAGGAAAGCTGCAAATGTGTTCGAGAACTTTGAAAACATAGTTTGACAGCATAAAATGCCCATTAAATCTAATAATAAGTTGAATGTTTACTTAACATATCACTTTCTAGTTATTTATTCCTTTGTGTTTGATGACACTAGGGGTTTTGAATTCCAAACCTTGAACTTCCTACATAGGCAACTTCACCACTTGAGCTGCACATGCTGGCAAATCACTTTAATTTTTAAAATTTTAATTTTAAATTCAAGTTTATTATACTTTTAAAACATATTGGCCGAGGAATATTGAAATAAAAAATAAATCTTCTGGTACAGAAAGTTTTGTGCCTTTGATAGAAGCTGTTTTTCTTTTGTGCCAGGTTGGGGGTTTTGACCTCTTGGTTATCTTTCTTGGCTCAAGGATGGCACTGTACCACCTGAACCACACCTCCACTTCCAAATTTTTGTTGAATTAATAAGAGTCAGATTTGTCTGCTCCATCTGGCTGTGGATTGAGATCCTCAGATCTCAGTCTCCTGAATAGGCATGAACCCACATGGGTACAGTTGTAGTGAAGGTTTTAAAACCTGAGACTAGATGGACAATTATAATGTTCAACCAAGAATTTTAAACCTGAGAGACAAACATTACCATATGTCAGTTTCTCCTGAGGTTTAATTGACATATACATAAAATCAGATATAATACAGCATTTCAATAGTGAATTGCTTTAACTTTTTTTCTTAGAGAATGAGAACCAAAGATGATGGGAAAGACCATGAAATAAGAGTGCAATTTTTCTGGTATGGAACCACAAATAAAAGAGACAAAAGTGGTGCCTACCTCTTCCTGCCTGATGGTAAGGCCCAGGTAAGTAATGCTGACAAGTTTATCTCCTGGGTTTATGATCTCTTCAAGGATCAGGTTACTACCTTTCCACCCAGTGTTATACTTACACTTGAAAGTTAGGTAAACCAACAGTGGATCGAACTTGCAATTCAGTTAGGATTATTTAAACCAGTGTTTTCCATGGAAAGAAGCTAGTTTGACTTTAGACTTGGTGCTTTTGTAGTGTTTTATATATGTGCAGCACAGTATGAAGAGATAAAATAATACGTAGGTCTGTGGAAAAAATGGATCATCTACTGGCTGTTTCTCCTTAACTTTCAACACTTTCATAGAGCATTTTCCCACCCTTGACTATAAAGGTAGTGAGTATATGCAAACTCTGGCACATTCTGAAAATGTAGAAAATTATGAAGAAAGCAGTAAGTTGTACAAACTTCAACAACCCCATGAAAACCACTGCTAATATTTTGGTGTGTTTTTAAAATATCTGTTATCTTCTAGTTAAAGTCTATCCATTCCCTAATTCTCAGTTTCATCTTTGCATTTATGTGCTTTATTTTTTATATGCATCTCTGTTCACAATCTGATAGTGTTTCTTGGATATAATTTTAATATTCAATGTTGTGTTTACTATTTTTCTAAGGTACATGTGTTCTTCTTATTCTTCACTGTTAGATATTGGCAATAAGCTTTCTTTTTATATAATTCTGATTATTTCCTGAGGAAAACCTTTATAGAAATTCACTGTCTGAATCCTGGTAGACCATTTTTATACATACTGCTTATTTCTACATAAATGTTCCTTTCCTCTTGGGATTTGTAAGTAACTTTCTAGTGTGCCGTTTTTCAAACACTAAGAATTAACCCTATTAGAAGAGTTGCCTGTAGTAGTAGGTTAACTTAAAATTTTTATTTTCCTATACAGTTTTTGGGATTATTAATGAAATTATACTTTTTCTACATTGATTGTTCTTATTTCTTTTGTTTCTTGTTTATGTCTTACTGATGCATACTATTGACCTATAAGTATTCTTTATACACAGTCAGATGAATCTTGCAAAATTTCCTGTCTGTGTTATTTAATTTTTACTATTTCATTTTTCTAGCAGTCTATAATATTTTGTAGGCAATTCTGCATTTTTTCTCTTTATAAAAAGAAATTTTTTGCTTAAATACTTTTTTTTGGCTTTAAATATTTAAAAAAAAATGTTTGCCTTACATCAGAGGGAAGCTAGGAGGGGGACACAGAACTAGAAGAAAACGGGTGAAAAAATACAGCAGAGGGGCCCATCAGCTTCACTAGACATTGATGAAAGGGAACTAAGCAGCTCTAGAGTGGTAATGGGAAGGGAGGGAATGAGAGAGAAAGAGGAAACAGCTGGCACTAAGCAAAAGGAAAGAAATGTACCAATCGCCCGGTTTGGAAGAAATCATTTTATTGTTAAAGTCTGTAGAGTTCATAAGCTTTGTGGATCAAGACAATGACAATTAGCATTGTGAAGATTAAAATGTGTTGGTGACTATAGCTAAGTATCACTATGCCACAATGCTGTGAAATTCATGTGATTACTTAATCTCAATAAAGAAAAAAATTAAATAACAGTTTGCCTTAAGGTTTTGTTGCCTAGGTATTCCTGAGAAAAAGTAACTTGTGTTATAATTTGGGAAAGCCTGTTAACCAAAATCAAGAGATTGATTTGAAACTGTGTAGTTCACACTAAAACTAACAATTTTTAGGTTGTTTTATAGTGTTTTATATACACATACATATATGTGTGTATATATGTGTCAGTAAGAATTTGGGGTAGACCACAGTTCACAGGAGCCATCGTAGGATAAGCAGTGGTTCCTCAGTATAAGCTGTTTCAGTATATCTCTCTTGCCAGCTTTTACCATTGGACAGGCATCTTACACTGAATAGAAAGGGTAGTTATGTTATGGGTATTACGCATTCATAGAAGTATTTAGTATCTATAATGTCAGTAGGATAAAAAGAATTATCCTTAGTTTACTAAGGGAAAGAGGTCAATGGCTCAGAACAGGAGCCCAGAAATGACTGTCTCAGGTCTCACTTATCCCTCCCCACTTTCTAGCTATATGTTAATTAGTTATAAGAACATTACAAACTGTCGCATGCTTTATTAACTTCAGAATACTTTTCTTTAGCCAAAGAGGTAGGTTTGGAATAAGATTAGACAATTCTGAAATTACTTACACTGGTAAGTTATTATTGTAAGCCTAGCTATTCATGCTATTCTTTTTTTTTTTTTTTTTGTCGGCCGTGGGGCTTGAACTCTGGGCCTGGGCGCTGTCCCTCAGCTCTTCAGCTCAAAGCGAGCGCTCTACCACTTGAGCTACAGCGCCACTTCCAGTTTTCTGGTGGTTTATTGGAGATAGGAGTCTCATGGTCTCTCCTGCCTGGGCTGGCTTTGAACCGCGATCCTCAGATCTCAGCCTCCTGAGTAGCTAGGATTACAGGCGTGAGCCACCAGCGCCCGGCTATTCATGCTATTCTTAAGCTAATATTTAGATCACAATTCTTCACCAGTGGTTTAAATCTTCCCAGTCATAAAAGTTATGTGCTTTATTTCCCATGTTTTCATTAATTTAGATTATAAATAGTGATAGCTAAACAATGGCTTCTAAGTGATTTCATTTTTCAATTCTGTAAAAGTTTTAGAAGCCAAGATGTTTTTCCTAAAATTCTGATTTCCTCCTCAGCCGTATGTTTCCCTACACCCACCCTTGGTCAGAGTAACATATGGAATGATCTACTCGGAGCTGACTTGCTATTTTGACCATGTTGCTCATACAGTTCGACTCTACAATGTACAGGGTAAGCAAATAGACACGGTAGTCAAACATTTCATAAACTCCTTTTTCAATTCTTGTTTTCCTTGTATCATTTTTAACACATTAAAAATGGCAATTGGCTTATACACATGATTTCTTTTTTCTGAACTTCTTAATTGTAATATGATCTCAAACATAGGACTTAACCTTTAATAATAAAAATGACAAAAATTTGCATTCCCTTCAAAAATATAAACATGTATGCATGTTTTCTTCATCTTAGTCCTGAGCTTGTTAACTAAGAAGCCTGGAAGGCCTGAACAATAATCCAGTATTTTATATTGTTTTATAAACTAGAATACTGTCATAACATGGATTTCAGTTAGTGGATTACTGAGTATGAGATGCTTGCACATACACGTGTTTGCACATACATGTGCATGCATGTGCACACCGGCCTCCTTAAATGTAGAATGCATTACAATAGCATATATCATAGGAATATATTTTTTTAATGTTTGAATATAGTTTTGTTTGTTTACAGCTCTTTGGTATAGTTGTTTAATTAATTGTTTATAACTTTTAGAGGGTATTGAACAGCGTAATAGAAAACAGCTTTTGGTCCTTTTCTGACTTGTTCTTTCATGAGATCTGGGTTTAAACAATGAGTCCCAAATAGTCACGCTTACAGTTATGTTGGTTGATTTTGAATTCATTGTTCTTAGGATAGAATACTTTACTAACTGCTAATTTAATTCTGGTAACCAGGATATTTACCAGGTTACCAATTCTTTTAGAAAAGTTCCTTATAAAAATGCCACTTTAAATTATCTTTGTTATTCATTAGGTTGAAAAAAGTGGTAAAGGGAAAATTTTTTCCTTGCCTCTTTTTTCTTAATTTTATTGTCAAAGTGATGTACAGAGGGGTTACACTTACGTATGTAAGGTAGTGAGTATATTTCTTGTTGAATATTGTTACTCCCTCCCTCTTTTTTTCTCCTACTTTCCCTCTTCCCCAGTACCCCCTTCCTCCAAGTTGTGAACTTCATTTCCAACATACTGTCTTATGAGTATCGCTGCCTCTTGGTATGGGTAGAAAATAAAAAATTTCACCATCTAATGACAGAGTCTTTCGACAAACACTTATGAGAAGTAAAGGCTATCTTCAAGGCTTTGCTTTATAAGCTTACACTTCCTGACTTCACATGTCTAACTCTAGTTTTGCTTTTACTTAGCTTTGTATTTAAATTTTCATTAGTTTTGCCTTTATGTGGGATTTTGGGTGTGGGCTGACTCATGAGCAGCCTCTCATGTGATCTCTTAGGTAATGATACGATATGTTGTTGGAATAATATGATCACTAGGTTGAATCAAGAAATAAAAGGTTTTCTGGAATAGGGAAAAATAATATTCTGAAACACAAACTTCATGTCGTACGCACAACTTTTAGGTCATTTGTAAATACTTTTCTACTCATAGAACAGTCTATAGTTCTAAAATCTTTTTTTTTTTTTTTTAGTTTCTCAAAACCTTTGGTAAAGCAGAAAAAAATACTTTAGAACATCACTTTATACTCTTTTGTAAGCTACCCCTGAAAGCTATAAAAATTTTCCTTTTTAAGTATCACCAAGTATTTCATTTTATGGGTAGAAAATAACATCACACATAGATTACCTATCTTAATTTTATGTAAGAGTTTTTATTAGCATGAACTGTACATGGTGACAGATTTCATTATGACAGCTCCATACGTGCATGTACTGTGCTTTGGCCATACCCCAATCCCTTTGCCACAATTATGACCCTTCCCCCTATTTTCTTCCAGAAGAAAGCTCTTCCTTGAGTGCAGCGTAGCACATGCCCGGGCACTGATCTATATCTGGTACCTTTGTTTTTGTCATTTGTATTTAGACATTGTCTATGCCTTAGAATAAATGCTGAAGCAACTTATCCTGAAATTGTAACCACTCAATCAAGTGTATTTCCTCAGTTGCTTTTCCTTTTGTTTCATAGCATCTGTTAATGTCACCGCATCTCTTGGGTTTTTATTAGATTATTCAGGGCCTCTGGAACTCACATCAGTGGGTGATTTGTGTAAGGTATATTTGTGGCTATAACTTAGCCAGCTGTTATACCTCAGAAGCAGATTTGAAAATAATAGATTCTGACTTGCCTATTTAGTTATCCGAACAAACTGTACTCATTAGAACTGGTTACTATTGTTCCTTTCCTCCTTTCTACTATTGTTACTATTTCTCCCTTCAGCAGCAGCTGGGTCCATGGACATTCCACTTCTTTGCCCTTCCAAAGTGGTTGCACATGCTGTCTCTGTTATCCTCTGTTGGCCTCTCCAGTGTGGCTCATTTCTGTTTGCTAGCTTGTCTTTTTTTTTTGTTTGTTTTTCATTTAAAGGTTGTCTTTGTGTATTTTCTTTGTAGGTTGGTTCTCTTTTCTGCTTTAGTATTCTGGTGCCCAAACTTAGCTTTTAGGGACATTTCCTTTTCAATGGACACTCCCTTTCTCTCATCATCATCCATTCTTGGCACTTGGAGTAGCCAATAAAGTCTTGTGTTTAGCTGTTTTCACTTTTCTCTCAGTAGTACATGTTTTATTTATTCATTGCCAAAGAAATATGTTTACATATCAAAATACAGGTTTGTACTTTATGTAAAAATACAGGCTTTTGAAATGTCCAGCGGACTAACCTCTAGGTAAAGGAGTTACTTTTTAAGATGTAATTAGTTAAGAAATGGAGGTTCTTCTCAATTGGGTACTAACAAAACAAAAGTAAACACGAAGACTTCCTGTTCCCTCTGGATTTCTCAGTGGATAGAATAAATTTGTCTATTGTGTATTTTTGTTCCAATAATAGATTTTTGAAGCTTGAAAACAGGAAGCTTTAGGAGTTTGTGGGAAATGACAGATAAATAGCCATCATGTGACATTAACTGAGTGTTTTCTCTAGAAGACTTTTATTCTAGTTGCCTGGATTGAAACTAAAATCAGAATATATAAATGTGAAGTGACATATAAACCTTTTTATAGATCTAGCCCTGAGCTTTTCTTTTCTTTTTTTCCTAACATGAAAATAGTTGTTGGGAGATGAGATACCAAAACCATCCAAACCATTTTCTTCACTTTTATTTGAGCTTCTTTCAATAAATCTTCCTTTGGGAAAATACTTATTTTCACGATGGAAATTTTGCTTTTTCTCCCTCATCTTCCTGACCTACCTCTATCTGACCTATTTTACCATGGACTGAAGATTCATAGTGTCTGGATCCTGGTTCAGGGAGATTTGAAATGAAATCCTTTTTAACAGAGATGTGAGGTCTTCAGGTGTTTTTGAGTATTCTTACTACTTGAAAGAATAATCTGGGAGTTTGGCTGTGCAGTTCACAGCCCATCTATCTCTAGAAAATCCTGAAAAATAATTAATGTTCTGAACTTTGTAGTCCTATAAACTATGTTTCTAAATAGTCAACATGCAGACAATAGGGATGGATGGAGTTTGAAGGGTTGGAGGAGAATGTTGAAAGGGATGATATTGACTAAAATGCCATCTACTCATAAACTGATGCTGAATTATAACCTTTCTGTGCAACCACTTAATAATAAAAATATGCTTTTAAAAAATATGTAGACAAAAGTATCTTTTGCCTTCATTACAAAGAAACCTTCAAGCAGCTTCCATGTTTTTGTACAATGATTCAGCTAGTATTTCTTAAATTACAGAAGTATGTATTCTCAAATTTAACTTGCTATTTTTGAACAGATGCTAATTTTACCCTCTTTCAGTTGACCAGTGCAATTACTGGATAAATATTAATGAATAGAACCTGCTTGTTGTTATTACCAAATTTCTGATATAGGAAGAAATGTGAATGGCTGTTTGGCCATTATTGCTTTTGAAACAAACTATGTTTGGAGGCCTTGGTTCAACCAACTGTTTTGGGGGTGTTTTTTTTTTTAACTTAAGTTTCCTCACTTGCATTCTTTCTGGAATTGAAAAATAAATTATTAGAAATGCAGTTGAAGGCTTCTAAGAAAGTATCATTTAGGCTATTTAAAAATACTTCGTTTTTCTTTTCATTATCACTCAGACATCACATTCAAAAAGTTTCTAGAAATATTCAATTATATGAAATCTGTGTTCTCTAGCTTTAAAAGCAATTTCAGAGTTTTCTACTGAGTGATTTTTTTTTTTTTTTTTTTTTGCTTTATGTCAGGGTAAATGAGAAATCCATTTTGTAGCACATGTCGCTTAATGAAATACCCTTTTAGAAACATTTCATGTTTTAGCAAAAGCTATGTAGAAAAATTACACTTTGGGCGGGGGGATAAGGTAGGTGTGGTGTAGTGGACATTAATTGCTCTTTCAGTATAATGAAACATCACTGAGTGAGCTACATTATGTGTTTTTGTTAATCTTAGATTGAAAGCTAGAATATGAGATAAACAAAAGCTGACATATCCCCGTGTGTTATAGTTGGTGTTGCATGTTCACAAAAAGTACAAACCTCACAGTTACAAAACAATCAATATGTAACATTGCTAACTGTATCTTTGTCTTTAGAGTTGTAATGATTAGACTTCAGTGCCCTAGTTTTCTGTCATCAGCAGCTGCTTTAAAGAATTAGGTTGCCATGGGTTACCTATATATCATGTACATTTTCACTGACAAAATGTTCAGGCCCCAAATCTATTACAATATATAGCTTCAAGTTCCTCCTATCTTCTGATTGTGTTTTCCTAAGGCAGGTGGTTATGAGTGAATGAGTTTGTGTGTGTGTAAACCCCGTTTCAGCCTTAGGAGAAATGTCTTAAATGCAGTGCTTTTGTCCTATTTCTACCAACATATTATAAAAGTAGTATATGTTATAGATCTTGCTAAAAGAAAGCAAGTAGCCTGAAGGTAAAATGTAATGAACTGCAATCAAAAAAGTATGGGAGGAAAGGCTTTCCTTTGGCTGCAGTGATTGAATAATTTCCCTGCATGGGTGTAGTTAGCAATCAAAGAGCACTGCTTAACTTTTCTCTGAGGAATTTTGAATATATAAATCTAAGTGAATTTATTACATGACTTATTTTTAGAGTCAGAGTGATTCATATAATTAATCATATAAGGTATTTTATATCGTGAATTAGAGATCTGAAGCTAGTCTCAAAATTCTTAGTGTCACCTAAGAATACTAGAGTAAACTTCTGTGGTTTGTCCTTTAATTCCTCAGTTTGTGTCTTTCTTCCTTTCCTTCCTTTTCCCTTTCCTTGTTCTGCTAGCACCAGGGTTTGAACTCAGGGCCTCACATCTCACTTGACTTTTTCATTTGTGGCTGGCACACTACCACTTGAACCACACCTCTGATCTTTAGCTTCTTAATCTATTGAGAGAGAGAAAAAAAAGACAAAGAGAGAGAGAGAGAGAGAGAGAGAGAGAGAGAGAGAAAGGATGAAACTAGGTACTGATGGCTCATGCCTGAAATCCTAGCTATTCAAGAGGCTGATATCTGAGGGTTGAGGTTCAATGCCAGTCTGAATACTAAAAACTGTGGTACTTTCTTCCCTAGTTAACTAGCAAATAGCCAAAATGGAAGTATGGCTTAAGTGACAAAGTGCCAACTGTAAATGGAAAGAAAAAAACAAGTTGAGAAGTATCTAGAAACGCCAGTACCAAAGCACATGCGCACACACGTGTACACACACACACACACACACACACACACACACACACACGCACACACACACGCACCCACAGTAAGAAATTACCATCAAAGTTCTCATAACTTAGTCATACAAAGTCTGTTGTGCTAACTGCATCTTCTAAGAATACTTTTATCTGGATCTTCCATCCATGGAGTCAGCCTCACTTGTAAACAGTATCCCAGAGCCTCATGGAAATCATTTTTATTTCTACAAAAAGATTCATGAGAATATTAAAATACTTTGCAATTGCCCTATTTTTCCTCCAGGGCTATATTCCATATTTAGTTTTATTTAAGAGTTAAAAAGCATTAAGTAAGTTATGGCTAGGCAGACTTAGGTAATTAAAACATTTTTGGAATGTCATAATGTGCAATTGACTGCTTAGGGTTTTTTTTTTGTGTGTGTTAATTGGAACTTTAAAAATTGAAGTAAGTAGCTGTGTGTCAAACCTGATTATTCCCTACAGACATGAAGAGAAGGTTATTTTAAGGGACTCTTAAGTACATTCTGGTTACGCAAATTCAGACTCAGAGGTTATCTTGGGGTCTGTTTGACAGCAGCTGCTGTGTTGAAGACACAGCTCGTTAGTAGGAGAATGTCATCTTCTACAAATGGGTATTGCATTGAACTCTGATGAAGGGCTCTAGGATGGGAAAAAGCAGGGGAAGTGCAGTGCTTCAAACTCCGGGTCCTTCCACGCTCTGCTATTAGCTCTGTGGCTTACCTTGTTTGACCTTGTATCTGACCTTGATTTCATCATTCTCAAGTGGTGGCAATGATAGTCTACTTTGCAGCGTATTTTGTGGAATATAACTGAACATATAGCCTGGCACATAGTTAAGTGTTGTGTCTACTTAAGTGGAAGACTCAGCCATAGGAATCAAACTCCAGTTGTAAGAGAAAGAATGGTCAGTGAGGGTTAGGGTAGTTGGAGAGGAGTTGATAAAGGAAGTGTTAAAGTGATAAAGGAAGTTTTTGAGATGCTAAATCTTAGAGGTATGTCATTTGAGTGGGCAGAGAGGAGGCAAATAATCACAAAGCATTGGAGGATGTAAGTTAGATTAAACTCTACTTCCTGTGAGAATTTGGAGAGCTCTGTGTCACATATATTTTTAAATTGACATCTAGCTTTTCTGTATGCAGTTAAATAATTGCAAAGGCTGTTATTTTGGTATTGCAAATAGTGACATTTAAAAATAATCATATCCATAGAGAGAAATTTGATACCAAATCATTCATTTAAAAAGCCTGTACTAGCTTTTCTTCAATAGTCAGGAGTATGGACTTTGTTATTTTTCTCCTGAACTCATATTTTTATTCCCTTTTCCCCACAGAGTTTTGTCATAACTTAATATTTTCATGCTTAAGAGGGCTGGTCAACCTTTTATTACGTCTTTGGAACAATATACACACACACTAACACACACATATACATACTCTAAGGTTTCAAAAACTTATCCCAAAGCTCTAAATGTTAACTTTTTCTGGATTGAATTATAAGCATTATTATTGATACTACAGAAATAGTCAAAATAAAACAAATACATATGTTACCATTTCATGCACTTAAAGAATTGCACATCTTTATTCAGAGTAACTGAGCACTGAGGAAAACTAGTGCAGACCAACCATGTGGTTTTATTCCCCGATTCTTCCTGCCTGTGTGTGAGACCGGCCCAACCTTGGATCATGGGGAAAATACCAAGAAATCATTGGTGTTTTGAGCTCTTTCATTTACTTCCTAAGGAAGTTATTTAGTTAGATCTTACTATTACCTATGCTGACTATTTGAGATTAAAACTACTTGATTAAATGCTGTGTTACCTCTGAAACAGAGCTTCCATGATTCACTTTTGAAGCATATAAACTAAAATCAGAATGACAAACTAAAATCAGAATGACAGAGGAGCTTAGCATGGCCCCTGAACCAGGATGACATAAAGGTTCTTGAAACAGTTCTTATCTTCATATATGAAGGGGGGTGGGGGGAGGAACAGAGCTTAAAAAAAAAACACCCACAAAAAAAATTAGCTTCTCAGTTTTCTCATGTATCTTTCAGTTCTTAAATCTTCCAGTTGCCATACTTAGTTGGTCTATTCTTTGCCCCAAATTGTAATTCATATAATCAAAATGTGTTTACTTTAACACAGTTAGGAGTATTCATTCAATGAAGAGTTTAAAGTATGTAAAGTAGTACTTAACCCATAAGTGATCAATACATGGTAGTTAATCTAGTCATTCATCTAGTTCCTAGACTTTTTTACTCAGAAAACAAAAGTGATGCATCATTTTTGTAAGTCTGAGTGTTGGAATGGAATTTAGTAAAATCTGTATTCAGAAATAATCAATGTGACCATTTACAGAGGATAAATTTCATCTGATAATGAATGATGAGTTGAGAAAGTCAACATAGATTAAAAGGTCATCCAATTGTAGGAATTATTACCATTAATATTTATACACTTTCACATATGAGTACATTTTTAAATGTATAATGATGATAATATTTGCTTTTTTACAAACATTTCCACGTTTGCTTACTCAGTTCATCCTTGTGAAAATTGTTTTAAGTGTACATGCTGAATAGTGTGTGTTAAACATAAATATCAACTCCAAGATTAGTTGGATAATGTTTACAAAGACAATGTCACAAAAGTAAATATATAATACAAAAGTATTTTTATTTTTTTTGTGAATTAAATACAAACCAGAATGCTCCCAATATTGGAAAAGTAAGTATACTAAATCAGAAGCCCTTGTTTTCGTGACAGCTATTATTGTCCTATTTCCGCTTCCTTGTCTGACCCTGTCTGCTCAGATGGAGGGAAAGGGTACCATTTTGACAGAGAAAGCCCGTATTTTAGGATACTCACCATAAACAGAACCTTGACTCTTAGGTGGGTTATTTTCATTTGATAGCCACATTAAATTTCACTAATACTTTTATTTCAAGACTTAATTTTTTAGGGTTCTTTACACCCCATTTTTATTAGCATAAATTAGTTGGACAAAGGATTTTATTGTGACACTTCCCTACATTGAATGCAGTTAAACCCATCCTCTCTTTTCAGAACAATGTTTGGGATGTTTTATCATTCTGTTTTCTTATATGTATATATCCTCTATTTCTTTCATGCTTTTTCCTTTTACTCTCCCCCACCTCCACCCCTCCACTTTTCCAACTGGTACTCACCCACAAACAGAACCTGTATGACCTTCCTGTTTTTTGTTTGTAAGTTCCAGATTCTGCACAGGAGAGAAAGCATGGTATTTTACTTTCTCCATCTGGCTAATTTCACTTCATATAATGATTTCTTGTTCCACTCATTTTCTTGAAAATGCTGTGATTGTATTCTTTATGGTTGAATAATACTATAAAAAGAGGGGAGAAAGAGAAATAGTGTGAGAGAAAGCATTATATTTCCTTTCTATTTATCAGTTAAGGAACATCTATGCTGATTCCATATTTTGGTTATTGTAAATAGTGCTATGATAAACATGGTAGACAGGTGTCTTGACTATATATTGACTTTGGATATATACCCAGGAATTGGAGAACAGGATCACAGGATTTGTGGTAATTCTACCTAGTTTTTTTAGGACCCTCTACCTTGATTACCATAGTAGATATACATTCATCTACATTCCCACCAACAGTATATGAGAATTTTATGTTCAAGTCAACTACTTACATTCTTGATGAAAACCATTCTAACTGGGTGAGATGAGATCTTGATGGGATTTTGATTTGCATTTCCTTTATGTAAAGATGTCAAACATTTCAACTATCCCTGAACCCTTTGTACTTATTTTAAAATTTGTTCAGTTTCACTATCAGTTGATTTATTCTTTTGGTGTTTAATTTTTGGAACTCATTATATTGTCTGAGTATTAATTCTTTATCTGACGGCCAACTGAAAAATTCTTCTCCTACTTTCTGAGTATTGGGGTCTTAGTCAAAAACTCACTTTTCATTTCCCTAGACAGGCAATTTTATTGGGCTGTTTAGGACCACTGAGAAGAACTTGGATTTTTTCTGGAAAATAAGCAAAGCTCTCTTGCTTTTTCTCCTTGGTTGTTTCCTTTCACTGACTGGTTGGCTGAGAGGAGAATGCTGACCTTTTTGTGAAGAGTATATTCTTCAGAAAGAGATACTTTGAATTTCAAAAATGCTGAGATGATCTAGAAAAGTGAAGTAGGATAGGCTGAGTCTGAGATTGTCAGACTTAGGCTGTTTCAGATAGACTGTACAAAGGTCCATTTGACAAGGGGAAGAGTGTCAGACTTAGGCTGTTTCAGATAGACTGTACAAAGGTCCATTTGACAAGGGGAAGAGTGTAAGTAGTGGAGTGGAAATGATGCAGAAGGTTCAGGAAAGGTTTTGTTGCTCAGAGCTATGGCCCTAGGCTCTCCATGTACATTCTTTAGAATCTTTACACTTTACCCAGATGTTCCCTCTACTCATCTGTCAGACATGGGAATGATAAGGATGGCCTCTAGGTTTTCTGTTTTGGCTCTCTTGGTCCCATCCATCCTGTGGATAAACTGAAAAGACAAGGATCATTTGGAGAGTGACTGCAAAGCTGACAGGTGGAAGATGCTATGATACAACTTCTTAAGATTGACCTACATGGTTTCATTTCTACCTGATAGCTAATAAAAGTCTTCAAAAGTGTTTAAAATTAGTTTTATAAATAAAAATTTTAGTATATGTGTATACTTTTTTTCCCCCAAACTCTACATATTATAGACATGCAGTGAAGACTCTCTAGAATCTGTATCTGTCCCCATATACTCCTCAGGAAAAACAACACTGTGTGTGCACACATACATGCACATAGGCACCCTGTATCTGTAGAGTATTATTTTGTGTTTGTGTCTGTTCTCAGCATAGTTTATCAGGTTTTGTCAGGACACACAACTACCTCATTCTTCCATTGCATTGTTATCCCTCACTTCTCAATTCATTTCCTGTTGATGGACATCTGGCAGGTTTTCCTGTGCTTGATTCTTAGCAACAGGAAGCAGCAGACACGCTGATGCATGCTTCCTGTGCTCACAACTGGGATCAACTCAGCTAGATTCAGGGGGAGGATGTACTATGTAATAGAGCACATGTCTTTACTTTTTTTTTCCCTTAGCTTCTAATGTGAGCATGTCATTTATAACTAAAGTTTTTGGTTGTTCTGAAGAGGTTTTTGGTGCAGGCAAACTGTGTCCCTTAATTCAATTTTACTCAATCGAGTAGTTCTGTCAGTATCTGTGTGTCTCTCTCCTCTCTGTCTTCTTTCTCTTCTAATCCCATTACCCCCCTAAACTCTATAGATCAGTGTTACTGCAGGGCTTCTCCCAGACCTTGATTTCAAGGTAAACTCAACTTTCTTCAGTTGTTGGTCTGCCGATTAGGTATGGTGTTGTTTGAAAGGCTTAGCCCTGGTGCTGCCAGCCTTCTGACAATGTCACAACTGAATGAGTTATTATATATACTATGCAATGAGCATCTGATACACAGTCAGTATTAGTGACTGTTAGTCATAGCTGTCATCCTTTTACAAGCTGACATTTATGCTTTACCTGCTTCATGCTGGGAGCTCAATAAGATATAATTCCCCATCCCTGAGCTTACATTCCAACCCTCATCTGTTCACAATTAAAACCCCTTTCTCTTCATTTTCCCTGATGCTTAAACTTTATCCTCTCATATCATCTAACTTCTGTGTGATGAAGAACAGGTGTTTATATCTTAGCTGCTTCTGTTTAACAGTGATTAATCATTTAAAACCATGTACCCAAGATGCTAAGAACTGTAACATAAAGATGGTGTGTGGGATGGACTGTGTCTATGAGAAGCTAACAGACTTAGGGTGAAAAAATACTCCCTATTACAGGGGTGAGAGTGGAATCTGCAGTATGTTCAGAGCAGCTTGCTCAGGAGTAGCATCTGAAAAACTTTTCTTTTTACAAAATTTCACTTGTAAATTGTCTCTATTTGACCTTGCATTGCTTGTATCATATAAATACTGTCCTTTCTCTCTGTTTCAAGAGGGAAGGTATTAGAAACAAGAGGCCACTTCTTTCTCATTGTTGAATTCTGATCACAGCTCCACCATCTTTTGGGGGTTTCTAATCATGTAGATCATTTTCCTTCCCAGAACTACAGAAAATCTGGAAAGATTTTGAAAGCCTTGGCTACCCAGGCCCGGGAAGTAACATTTTCAGAGAGTACTTTCCTCTCTCTCCTGTACTACAGCAATCCAGGAGACCACTGGGCCCCATGGTATCTAGCTGGCTTCTGAGACAAAGGCACACTTTAGGGAATTCTAGTCATGGAAATGACAAGGTTGGCAATTGTTTATCACACACAAACTGTTCTTAAATATAAATGCTTTCTCTTTGGGAACTCCTTTTATTGCAATGGTAGGTTTTAATTTGGTTTGTAGTAGTATAACATTGATCTTATTTTAAAACTCCAAATTAATGTCTTGCCAAATTGTGAATGGCCATGAGCTGCTTTAAAAGAGCTTGAGGTCTTGTCACAACATGATCTGAGGATGATATTAAGTTTGAGGAAGATGACTTTCTCAGTAGAAATAATTTATCATTGCTGGGGGGGGAATGTGAAATCATTTATTTTTTCTTGAGGCTGTTCTTTGTAAATATTTTCTGGAGAGACATGAATTGAAATTAATGATACTCCCTCTTGCTAAGATTTCATGTGTTCTGTTAACCTTGAGAGGATATCCAATCTAGAGAGAAGAAAACATAAAAGACTACCAACAATCCTCTAAATGCTTCCAAGAAGAGTTAACATCCTGTCATCACTTATGCTCTTTAGTGCTACATGAATATTATCATTTGCTTTTTGTTTGGGGGTTTTGATTGTTTGTATGTGTTGGGAATTTATCCCCAGGTCTTGCATACACAAAGCTGTACCAATGAGCTACAATCTCACCCCCTACATTTTGTGTTATGAATATCTTAAGTTCATTTACAGATGTTCAGCTATTAAAATTCTATATGCATTTCACTTTTGCTTTAATGGAAGCACATTAAAATAAAATTTGCCTTTAAAACAATTTATATTCTAGTTCATAGCAGATTATGTTGTACTATCTGATTTATGTGATTTTTTTTAAAACTTCCCAATAGTGGTTGGGATATTTGGGGTATATCTGCCTTTACAAATTCCTCTGATAACTCTCAGAAGGAAACATATGCATATATTTAACAAGCAACTTAATAGTTCAGAGTGGCCATAGAAGTGGCCATAAAAGGCCATCCCCTTTTGAGGCTCATTGTACTCATAAAATATTTACAAATATAACAAGAAATTGAAGTTATCTCCAATTAAGGTGGTTTAGTTAGAAGAGCACTATGTACTAGGAAAAAAATTTATGAACATTTTGCTGATGCTATAAATGTATACCGTGTCTCATTTAGTATTCTTTATCTCTGTATTATTATTTATATTTTTATATTTTCCAGTGTGTCTTTCACAGAATCCATGAGCGTGGACTGTATAAGTTTTCTCTGTTAATTCTTTTCCTCAAATCTCACAGATAAAAAATTTCTTTGAACATTTGTCACTTTCTCTAAGCTGTAGGGATTGCTTTTGACTCCTAGGAATGGGAATCATGCTCACCATCCCTATGCAGACTTCATTAGTTTAAAGAATTTGTGTTTGTAAGAGTAACAGTAACAGTGTGTGGAAAGGAGGGAAAAGAGGGTAAAGGAAGTAAAACTGTAGGTAAGTTTCCAGAGTTCTTGTAACTTCAAGAGCATTAGCTTTATGAAATAGGATAGAGCAGTGTCTCTTCTTTTGACCTCTTTCCTGATTGTTCTCTTTTGAAGATCCTGTAACATCTCTTACATATACTCCATCTGACTGAGTGTGTTGGGGTTTTTCATAATACCTCTCTTCATCTGAAATTGACCCAAGGTTTTGTTGAAGACCTGATGAGACAGTTAAGGTAGAATGACAGATAGATACTAGTAAACACTTAAGATGTATCAGAAAGAAAAAAAAAAGTTTGCTAAGTCTAGGCCTTTTTTCACTTGTACTTTGCCTTATATAGCAAAAAGTAGAATGGATTACTCCATAACTCAAGCTTCTAAGAGATACCAAACTCAGCTGAGATTGATTTCACTTCTGGGGAGCTCTCTAGATTGTAGTCTACTAGAACCAATATGTTAAGATGGGATTCAGCTATAAATCATCGGATCTCCTGTCTTTTTTTTTAGAAGTAGATTGTGGGTAACAGCACATGTCTCTTAAATCAATAGAGTATAAATTTCAGTGGATCTTAATGTGTAGTGTAGCAAGAAAGGGTGGTGGGTGGGTGGGTTTCAGTGCCACTGTCAGGGAGTAGTAGGTATAGGTGAGAAGGGGAACTAATCCTGTAGAAGAGAGCTGGCCTCTTCTCACTTAATGGCCTTCTTCCTCTCAGGACTCACTGGAGAGCCAGTGGCATGTTACATGTCATCTACATCCATTGAATTAATTTATACCCCTGCAAAAATGCTACCAACATTCTAATATTAAGATAGAAGAAAGATAAATTTTAGCACTTTTGTATATGAGATTATAAAGATAAGAAGCAGAAAACAAGGAAATGTATATTAATTTGGAAGGAGTTCTCTTTACATTTAGGAAAATTGTGGCAGTAATTACTTTTTACTAACGTATACTTTTTTTTTAATTTTAGGAATAGAAGGACAGTCTGTGGAAGTTTCCAATATTGTAGACATCCGAGATGTACATAACCGTGAGATTGTGATGAGAATTTCTTCTAAAATAAACAACCAAAACAGATTTTATACTGACCTAAATGGATACCAGGTAATTTTCTTTAAAATAATTGAGCATTGGTGGCTCATGACTGTAATCCTAGCTACTCAGGAGGCTGAGATGTAAGGATTGCAGTTCAAAGACAATTCAGGCAGAAAAGTCTGTGAGACTCTTTATCTCCAACTAAAAAAAAAAAAAAAAGCAGAAATAACACTGTGGTTCAAAGAGATAGTGGTAGTGGTAGTGTTACTAGCCTTGAGCAAAAAGAGCTCAGAGACAGCACCCAGGTCCCCAAGTTCAAGCTCTGCAACCAGCACAAAATAAGTAAAATGAGAAAGGATTGGTTGAATTAGTGAATAAAGTGAATTATTATAACATAATAAGTCAGTTGATTTTAGATCCTTTGAAAAAATATGCCTAATGTTGCAAATTATTTCTAAACTAAGGTAAATTTTAACAGACACAGGTTCTATATTCAATCAGGTTTCCTAAGTTAGAAAAAATATTGTAGGAATATTTCTTGTAGAATTTTTTTTTCATAAAGGGAAATTTGTTGACTTTATTGTATAATTATTTTATGCTAATATATTGTTTTACTTTTATATAATACTATGTTCTATTATTTATATAATATACTAGAAAGGAAACATGATCAGGGTATTGACAGATACCTTTTCCTCATGAGGAATTAGTCTGTGTATATTTTATTTATTCCTTATATATTAGTAAATGTATGATCTAATAATGAACTCTTAAATTTTATGAAAATTTTAATTTTATACAATTTTTCCTCTCTTTATCAATACATTTATACATACATATATGTATACATAGAGAAACAGGTCTGTCTAGAAATATGAGCAGGTATATACTTAATCAAATTTTTCATTAATTTTAAATAGTAAGAAAATTCTCATATAAGTTTTTGAGATCATTATCTATCAAAATGTAATAGTACTAATTCTATTGTTAACTCAATCTCTGTGTTTTGAATTGTATGTGCATGGGCAATGTGTCTTTGAAATAATAGTATTTTTTTAAAGGAGCAGTTTTTTATACATTAGCATTTAGGAAATTCCTGGCTATGAATAGAAATAATTATATAACATATGCTTTCTTTTTTGTCTGTTTTCAAGTGGCTATAAGTGGAAAGAGTGTGATAGTTTTTTTTTTCCTGTGATTTCCTCTAAAAGTTTAAATTTAAACCTATTCCAAAGTACAGGAAATTGCTACATACATTCCAATTAACATGTTAATTCTATTATAGCCATTTGATTTTCAAATGAAATCCTGACTTTATGGTGATTCATTTTCATGTGTACAAAATAAAATCCTTTCTTAACATCTCTCAGAAGCAATTATTTGTATGTGTGGGTGTATACATGAATGAGAAAAAAGTAAAAATGAGTGACTGAAAAATGTTAGTTTTCTTTTTAAGGATCAAATATTTTAATAAAAGGGAAAATACATTTTTGAGTCCATAATCTATTTTTAAACCATGTTATTTTAGCTTTGAAATTAGAAATACTTGGGTGAAAGTAGATATCTAGACCCATAGGTGGGGACTGGGAAGCAACAATATAGTTATGGCAGAGTTAAATATCTAATATTTAAGGATATGAATTAAGAGATATGGGAAGGTCAGAATTAGGAGAAATCGAAAATTTTTTCAGTGTTCCCCTCCCCTCTCATCTTTGCTCTTTCCTCCTTTCCTTCCTTCCACAATTTACAGTTGTTTCTTTACCCACATATTAATTTCATAGGGCTAGCATACCATACAAGTCACACAAACTGGGTAGCTTAAAACAAGAGAACTTTATTCTTTCACAGTTCAGGAGACCAGATAGCTGAATTTAAGGGCTCCACAGGGCCTGTTCTCTACAGTCAGTTAAAAAAAAAAAAAAAAGTGTCCTTCCTTTTCCTTCCTACTTCTGGCATTTGCTGACACCCCCTGGCATTCCTGTAGACATATCACTCAAGTTTCTTTCTCTGGGGTCACTTGATGGCCCTGTCTGTGACTCTATCTTTCCTTCAATGTCTAGATTTCCCTCTTACAAGAATGCCAGGCATAGGATTAGTGGAAAACTTAAGTAGTTGAAGTGGAATATTTTAACATAAAGTCTTATTCACAGGTTATAAGAACATGAATGAGGGGAGGGAACATAACAACCAATAACTTGAATGACAGTGCAGGGCTTCTGGGAGTATTAGAGATTAGATCTATGAGGCATTCCTCAGTATCTATTAATGAGCAATCAGTACACATGAACTATTACAATGACTATACTTCTCCTCATTCTGACTTTCATCTTAAACTTTTGAAAGTGTAAATGAGGAGGTGACATTTTTAAGTGGTATGAAGATTCGCTGGCAAAAGTCTTTTGAGGCTAAAATTTAAGTCATTGTGACTTGGACTAACTGAGCTACTGACAGTCTTTTAAAATATAAAATTTCATGCATGAGAAACTAGAATTTAGACCTATCTAGATTGAAACTAAACAAGAAGAGTAAACATTGAGTGATTTTTAAATATAAATGCATTTGATTATAATGTGTAATATATTACAGGATTTGGTGGGAGATCTGTGATATTTATTAAAATGGATTCAAAAATAATAAGAGATATTTCTTGAAAGGGGATACAGAGCTATTATGCTTAGCATTCATTACAAAAGCAGTATGTTAGATTTGGATGAGAAATGAATACTTAATACCTTTATAATTTGTTTTATGCAAATATGGGAGAGCCAGAAGACTTTTGTTAGGCATTTTTATTCTGAATTTAAATAGAAATGCCTATTTTTAAAATTTGGACAAGTTCTTGCATTCCTACTCAAAAATTGTTTTCTAAGATCCACATGGTTTCCTTCATACTGTTTTAAAGAAGAGTTTAATTTTTAAATGATTTCTTTGCTCGAACAAGACCAGAACTGGTGTCACTTTATCTTTGGAAGAGGACTCAGTACTTTAAATAGTCCTTTTATAAATGCATATATTTAAATATCACATTTTCCAAAAAGGGCATTGCTTGGTTTTATAGATTCAACCTAGAAGGACCATGGACAAATTGCCTCTTCAAGCAAATGTTTATCCTATGACCACAATGGCATACATCCAGGATGCTGACCATCGATTGACACTGCTCTCTGCTCAGTCCTTGGGAGTTTCGAGTATGTCTTCTGGTATGTGTTCTTTAAATTCTCTTTTGCTTTCAAAGATTTCAGCTGTAAGAATATAATTCACTTCAAAATGTAATGACTACATTTTGCCAAATGTGTTCATTAGCCTTTCCAGTTAAAAACCTACCTATCTTTCAAGAATCAGAATATTAATCAAGTTAAAGTTTTGTGATAACACCATAAAAGGAATTGCCTCAGTCTTCAGATAAGAAGGGACCTAAGACACCATGTCACAGTGACTATTTTTTTAAAGTTTATTGTCAAAGTGCTGTACAGAGAGGTTACAGTTACATACATAAGGTAGTAAGTATATTTCTTGTCAAACTTGTTACCCCCCTCCCTTATTTTTCTCCCTTTCCCTGTGTTAGTCAGTTTTTTGTCATAACAAAGGTTTTAGGCCCTAAGCATACCCTCATATAGGGAGCATAGGTAAGGGGGCGGGGGCCAAAAGAGCTGTTCTTCTGGTGGTATATGGTAAGCAAAGAAAAAGGAGAGACAGGGAAGGAAGGGAGGGAAGAAGAGAGAAAGGGAAGGAGTATGGGAACAGGTAGATCTTTTAGGTATGTCCCCCGTAACCCAGACCATTCAGCTATGAACTTAACAATGGAGTAATCCATAGATGAAGTTAGCAGCATTGTGATTCAGTAAACTCTCAGTATTGCCACTGACTTGGGACCGAGATATTTTATATCTAAACCACAGCAAGAGCTTACTTCTGATTGCCTGCGAGTATGAAGTTGTAACTCAAATTTACATTCTTTTAGATGTGACGTGGCTTCCCAGAAAGCTTATGCGTTGATGACATTATAGTTGGATGATGAGTAGTTGGATCTGACCAGTGAATTAATGTGTTGATGGACTCATAATTTAATGGCATTGTTGAGATAGTCTGATGGAAGCTAGCAGGCAAAGCCCGACTACAGGAAGTAGGTCCCTGGAGGCATTCCCTAGAAGGGTATACTTTGTCCCTGGTCTCTTCCTTTCCCCCTGCTTTCTGGTTGACATACAGCAAGCTGCTTTCTTCTGCCATGCCCTTATGCCATGCTATTTCTGTCTTGCTACAAGCATGAAAAAAGAACCAAGTGGCCATGGGCTGAAACTATGAGCTACTTTTTATAAGCTGATTTACTCGAGTATTTTGTTCCAGTGCCAGAAACTAATTACCATACATAGTCTGTTACTCTGCTACCTCCTAAAAGAAGAAAGGAGGTAGGAGTGATATGGGTGTGAGAATGAAGCAGCTGAAAGAAGCTGAAGTACCTTCTAAAAGAGAAAGCAAGGCAGAGAAAGAGAAAATAGACAGTAAACATCAATCTACCTTTGCTAAGCTTTCTATTGAGAGACTTTTATTCTATAAGATACATTCTTTTAATTGGTTTCCATACATTCTATCATTTTTTAATCTACTAAGGATTGCTAAAAATACCTAAAGGATCAGTCCGATGTGAGCGCAGAAAATATAAAAATATATTTATATATTATCCTTTTTACACAAAATTACTTTTTATACTAGGCATCTACATCCATTGAACTCTTCCACACACAAACTAGTTGCTTCTTCTCAGTTTGTGTTGTGGCCTTCACTAGACTAAATCATGTGAACCTATGCTTAGGAGACTAATACTGAGTTTGCACCACAGATGGCTGAGGCTTGGACACACTGGAGAGCACATTACCATGGACAGGGCGAAAGCTGCTCACTACTTGGTGTTGTTTAATTTTTACCATATGGATAGGAGCCCAATGTTGCCAAGTTTTTCAGTTATTGAAGAAATATCCAGAATGTTAAGTAATTGTAATTTAAATAACTTTAAATGAAGTTCTCAATCTGTAGATGTTAACTTACATAAAACCCACCATTCTTCAGACAAATGCAAACCATCTTAGTGACTCTTGAATCACTAATATTTAAGTGTGGCTTTAACTTCTCAAAGTTGTGCTCTCAACAGATACTAGTCACTAGATTCAGGCAGTGAGACATCTTCCTCTCCTTTGCTACTGGCTTTCAAATACCCCTACTATTTGAGTAAAGTCAATGAAGCACAAACTGGTAAATCATTAAATGTCACATGCTTTATGAATTCATGTTTAGAAACAGGAGTGCCTAGAGATTGATGAACTAATGTTTGTTAGATATAACATGATAAGCTGTGAATAGGCATGAGAACAGTGAGTCAGTGCTGGGGCATATACATAGTTGTCAGCTGAACTATGGGATAATAACCACAAAAATTCAGCTATTCTTTACTTATAGTTTTATGTTTTGGAAACCTAAATCAAGAAGAAAGAAAGTAAAAAAAGAGTTAGTATAATTACAAGAGTAATAGTTACTAAAATGGATTAACGTTTATTTTTCCTTCTGAATGATCATTAATACATTAATAGATATGAATAATATAAATATATTTTTAAAGTATGCATAGCTTTTAATTTCAGGTTTCATTGAGTGTAATCTTAAATGCCTACATATAGTTGGTTCTGGTTTTAGTTTCTTCAGTTTACTAGCTCATGTAACCTAGTCAGTAGCTTAGATCCTAAAATAGAGGAAATACGGAACTATTGAATAGCAAATGAAGGAATTAAATATGACCCAGGTAAGCCAAAGGACTAGCTGGACAATTGGAGGTACTGTTAACAATATCAGGAGGTGTCTCCAAATTCTACAACTTCCTCAGAATTGTCACCTGTCAAATAGTCTGGATTTTATTCACAAATCTTATTTAAGACCCCTTAGCTATATGTGTCTTGTTATTTCATGTATAATGCATTCCTAATTTGCTTCCATCAGCATTTTTATTCTAAGCACTGCTACCAAAACAAAAGTTCAAGAGAACTTGATTTGCCCTGCAGGTTAGGTTTTTTTGGAAAAAGTTTCTGTTAAGTTTCGATCTGCCCTGTTCCATTTTAAACTTTTCATCAGAGATGATTAAACATTAATGAAGGAAAGCAGAAATGCAGACCTGTTTTATGAATTTAGCATAGTGACTTTGAGCTATTAGCAAAGAAAGAAAACCCATGGTATCCGTATCTACCTGCCCTAGCTGATGATATCGTATCTTCCTCTGTAATTATCCTTCATGAATATATGTATTAAATCCTACTCAGTTTCACTGTTGTTGTTTGTTAGGTCAAATTGAAGTCTTCATGGATCGAAGACTCATGCAAGATGATAACCGTGGCCTTGGGCAAGGTGTCCATGATAACAAGATTACAGCCAACTTATTTCGAATACTACTGGAAAAAAGAAGTGTTGTGAATATGGTAGGAAAAAATAACAAGCATGGTCTGGTGATGTTTTCTTTGTCACCTTAATTTGAAGTGACAACTTTATACTTAATTTTTATTTATATAAAATTTATTTATATATTTTTTATTTATATAAAATTTTATTTATATAAATTTCCAATTCTGTTATCTTTATATTAGATTGAGCAGCAATTCAAAATTCATAGCAAATTTCAATTGTAAATATTGTGTTGGATCTGCATTTGGGTCATTTTACATTTTATTTTTGTTCGTTATGAAGGTAAATGTCAAGGAAGCAGTTCAAATGAAATTATTTTCAAAGACGTAAGTTTTAAAAATTGGGCTAATTAAGAATTATGTAGTAGAGCTTAGTCACATACTTTGGAAAATTAAGCTTGATTGTAGAATATATTCAAAAGTGTGAAACCAGGAAGCTGAGATCCAGAGGATTGCAATTTGAAGCCAAACCAGGTAGAAAAATCCTCAGACTCTGTTTCCAAAATAACCAGTTAAAAGCTGGGTTGGAAGCCTGGCTCAAGAAGGTAGGAGTGTCACCTGAGCAAGTTTGAGGCCCTGAGTGAAAACCCAGTTAGTTACTGGGGAAAAACAAATAGTGATCTTATTCTCGTCTTACATTTATTAATTGGAAATTGATTGACTTACCTGTAGTCCATAACCAGTTTTTATTCCAGTAAGCAAAAGTCCAGCCATCAGTGTTGAACAATTTGACAAAAGCCAGGCTTTACCTGAGTACCTGATAATACTCAGATGTCATCAGAGGGATCTCAGAGTTCTCCATGTATTAATGCTCATCTCCATCAATGGTCCTGGAAATGGCCCTTCCCTTTTGTTCTCCATCTCTTTTCTGCACTACATTATTTCCCTTTTTAGGCAGTAACTTCACTGTTTACTTCTTAGGGAGAACAGCCAAAAAAGAGAGCTTTCTATTCCAGATACTAAGTCTCCTTTGTTTCCCCATTTTCCTTCCTTAACCCTCCGTTTTTCTTAGGCCAGCAGCTCCACATGACTTGGAATTCACCCCCTTTACTTTCCTCCATATCCTTTTACAGACAGTCCTCTCTTCTTCCCTTTCCCCCATCATCAAAGCCAACACTTCCCTAGGAGATCTTTTTCATTGGCTGTTCAGCAGTCTTTGTTCTTCTGTTAAAAATAAAAGCAGAAAACACTTCTCACTCAGAGCTAATGAAGAGTTTGTTTTATCTGGCTCTCTTCTCTGGCTTTTGCCCATGTGGCAGTCTCCAGTGGATATCTTCTGTCATAACCTACCCAAACTTTCTAGTACCATTTGACACTTAAAATGGTCATTGCTTAAGAAACTGCCCTGCCAGTGCTTCCCCAGTGCCATACGTACTTGGTTTTTCTTCAACTTCTCTGGCTGTTATTTATCTCTTTGATTATTTCCTTAGACATAAAATATGGAGTACTCAAGGCCTAGCCCCTGGCTTTGTCCTTTTCTCATTTTAGATGCTATCTCTTGGCAATATCTTCTCTTTCATTCTACAACCTGCTACCTCTACTCAGATGGAACCCACGAATTTATATCCCTACATCAGTTTTACCTCTGATCTCCAAATCCATCTATCTAGCTCCTACCTAATATTTTCTTTTGTGTTTGTGTGTCTCAAGTTCGATGTAATCCCAGATTACTCTTATGAGCTCCCTTAACCATACAGGTAGGGCCTTTTGTCCCAATGTTCTCTCACTGGCTGACAAGAACACCCCTCTAAGCCAGGACCATGTCTGAATCATTCCCGATGGCCATTTTTCCCTCCTCAATCCTTTTCTCACAACAGTTAATCCCAATGGCCTGTCTCTTCACCTGCACATTTGACATCTGTGAGTTTCTTGATTCATGTCTTTCTGATCTAAGCTGATACCATGTATTTCCCAAATCTGCCTGTACATATACCCCACATTCTTCTGCCACAGCTGTCACTTTATAGGAAGAACTACCATCCTACTATATAGCAATTTCTGCTTATTTCTTAATCAAAATATACATATTTTATTCCCCTCCTAGTATCCAGAAGCTTGTTCACCTGAGTAGACAGAGTGAGTGATTGGATTTTTGTTATTGTTGTTGTTATTGTTACAAACCACAGCTACCCTATTAATCTCAGCTTAGCCTTTATTATGTCTTCTCATTATTTTCATTCACAATAAAAGGCAAAATTCATACAATGGCCTGAGAGCCTATCATGGTATGTATGACTCCTGCCTGTCCTCTAAACATCTTGAATGTCTCTCACCATTTCTGCTTTGGCTCACTGCTTTATTTTTTTACTGTTTTTTTTTCCCAACTCTAAGTTTTTCCCATGTCCTCTTCCCTGAAAGTGCTTTCACACGTGACTTTTTGTCCTCTCTGCCAGAAAACTCATGATAGTAGTTGAGATAAGTGCTCACTTAATTATCTTCCTTATGACTACATCGGATCCCCCTGTGCTCCCATTGAATCTGTGCATTTTGATTATCTGATCCATTCTTTTCTCTCCCTTTGGATCATGAATTTCTGCTTCACTGATAGGTAATCAGGAGATAGACAGACTGACAGACAGACAGACAGATATCATAGATAGATACCATAGATATGAGTGGATACACAAATACCTAGATGAGTGAGCTGTTACAGAACATCATGCTACTGTACTGCAATTTCCACTCACTGCTTTATCACCATATGCATATTTTACTCTCCCTATTAGATTCCAGGAGCTTGTCCATTTCATCTCCAAGTTTCCCACAGGGCCTTTTGCTGCTGGTATAGGCATTCTATAAATAAAACACTAATTCTATAAATAAAACACTAATTGATTGAATGAAATGGAAACAGCTAATTGAAAGAATTCTTCAAGTATTTAGAATTCTTTGGGAAAAAATAATATTCATTTTAGATGTCAAGATTCATATAAGTTTCTTAAGTCTTACAGTTTAAATCAATTATTGGCAAGATAGTTTTAACAGCTAAAACTGCATAGGCACATCATTGTCTGAGTGTTGACAGCTACTGTCTCTTGATCCTCCTGGAAATATTTCTGGCTTAGATGTGCTTTTTCCTCTATATTGATACTAATGTGCAAAAACTTCTGCTAACTATGGCAATAAAATAATTCATGTAAGATCTATGAATCTTTCACTTAGAAGTGAAATCCTTTATTGATTCCAATATTAAACACCTTGGATAACACCCAAAATGCCTATAATTACAATACTTAGAAGGAGGATCTAGAATTTGAGGACTGTCTGAGATGCATGCCTTGACATGTATCACACAACCTCGCTGGAACATAACCAATTCAAATGTGTTCCAATGTTTTGATAATCCTATATTGATCTCTTTTCTTTCACTCAACTATAAATTCTTAAGTCAATATCTTGTACCTTTTGATTTCTAGTGACACTGATTTAACTTTTCTAGAAAAGTGTTTTTAGCTTCTACTAAGACTAAGGTACTGATGATGGGACAAGTAGGAAATGCTCTCTAGAAAGTTAAGCGTTTTGATGGGAAGCTTTCAACCTGTCTGCTTCACGGAAACCATCTTGGAATAAGTTTTGTTCTCAGAGGGTTCTGCAGAGAAACAGTGGGAGCAAAGACTTGGAGTGATCAGTACTCTGGGATATACAGAGATACCAGTGGAGGACACTGGTGGAACTAAGTTGACTAGTAGTCACACTAATGATCAATAAGGGGGAGGGGGGGGACAGGAAAGTATTTGCACTAATCACTTAAAGATTTATTTCTTTGACTGTAACTCCTTTCCTAGTACCCCTTTCCTAGTGATGGTTGGTATGGGAAAAGAGGCATTATAGATTTGGAAATCCTACAAGTGCGTAAGTGGTATAACTGTCATTTTTACCTCTGGATATTGGTTCTTTCCATACAAGAAGAAAAAGAAAGAAGCTGGGCACCAATGGCTCACCCTGTAATCCTAGCTATTCAGGTGGCTGAGATCTGAGGATTACATTCAAAGCCAGCCCAGGTGGGAAAGTCCCTGAGACTCTCATCTCCAGTTAACCTCCAGAAGACCAGAAGTGGTGCTGTGGCTCAAAGTGGTAGAGCACTAGACTTGAGCAAAGAAACTCAGGGATAGCACCCAGGCCCTGAGTCAAGCCCGACAACCAACAAGAACAAAGAAGGGAGGGAGGGAGGAAAAAAGAAACAGAAAGATGAGATTAAAACCCCAATTGTTTATATAAGGCTCTGGAAAGTAATAGCACTCAAAGGTCAGACGCATAAATGTATCAAATCAAACTGAGTAAACAAAAATAACTCACTGTCTTAAATAATTTACCAAGTTTTAATTAGATGAAAAAGCCTCTAACTGTTGATGATCAGTTAGCTCAAGTTAGCTTAATAAAGAGAACCAAGCAGCCTGGAATTAATTCTGATTCCTAGAATAAGATCTTCTAACTTAGAAAGATCTCAACTCTTTGTAGTTTGAATCACAATGTACTAGAAACTCTTCAAAGTCAAATAAGTTGTGGAGAGAAAGCTAGACTTACATACTCTGAAACCTTCCAGGCAACTAAACTCCAAATACTATTTATAGGAACAATATCAGTAACTATAAGGCCAATAAACCCATTAAGAGCTTAAACACACATTGTATCAATTTTGGGTTTTTCCAAAGGCTTAGAAGGTTACCTACTAGCGGTTAATCAAATACTGGTAGTTCAACAGTTAAATATGGTGGGGAGCCCTTTGTTGCAGTAGGTAAACATGTACAAATGGGACCCCTAGGTGATTACTTTGCCTGGTTACTCCAGCCAAACTTCAGCAGTTTACTTGTTAATTGTACTCTTACTGGTGCTGAAATGCAACTCTTATATAAACTTCTGTCTTTTCTTGCAGAGGGCAATCAAGTTTCAATTCTTTAATCTCAAACAATTTGCATGCATGGCATTGTTTCTTTTTGTCTCAACACCTTTCAATTTGAATCTTGTTTCTTTAATCCAAAAGTAGCTGAGTGAGGCATGTACATGCACGTGCACAGATAGAGATAAATGAAGTATAGATTATAAGATTATATACGTACAGATAAATATAATAAATATATGAGAATAGGGTATATGTGTGTGCTTATAGATACGTATGTATTTGAATGTGTGTGTGCAGGCAGTTCCCAGCACAGAATCACAGAACAGGATGTGGCTGACTCGTGGGCTTGGCTTGCAAATGTTTTTTTGTTTGTTTTTTAACTTTTACATTCCCTGAGACTCACCCCTGGAGATCCTGATTCTAATAATCTGGGTGAGGTTCAAGAATCTATGTTTTGTAAAGGCTTCAAGGTTATTAGGTTGTGTGGTAATCGAGGAAAGGACTGGCTGAATTCAGGTCAGAGAACTGATCTTGTTTGGAGGGTTGGTATATCTGTCTATGATTGCTTCTCAGGTATTGATAATTAGTCAAGAAGTGTCTCATCTACTCACTGAAGTGTCCAGGAATTCCTCCAAGAACATTAAACAAAGCTTGAGAGCTTTTTCTGAATGTGCCTTGACCTAGAATGGACTTAATGCCTCTTGAATCTGGGAAGGCAGATGTTTTCCCGTCTGTTAGAATATTTTATCTTTTATTACTCAGAAGTAGTTTTGTCAGCAATCCTGACCTAGATCAAAAAAGTCCTTTGATCTGTGAGCACATTTAAGTGTCTTGTTGAAAATGTTCCCTTTCCCTATTCACATTATTCTACAAGTTGCATTAAATGACAGTATTGTTGGAGAATATTATTTTGTATGCTTTATTTAATGCGTACATTTTCATAGAACTCTTCCAGACCTAATCTTTTTTGTCAGTATCTTAATACTGCAGTGTCCCTCTGCTGCCTTTAACTTTTTCTCTCTCTCCATGGTCTGAATTGTAATGACATCTACTGTTAGCCGCTGGCATGATGCTAGTTGTTTTTTCCTAGCACGCTTCTGTCCAATGTTAATCTGACATTCTGAATTTTAAGCTCCATATCTTTTTAAAATCCTGTCTTTTCACACAGATAAGTAGCCAAGCCTTTAGAGTCCTCTATTACAAAAAAGAAGCAAATCAGGAGATATCCGTGAAGTAGTCATTTAAAAAAAAATTAATTCACTTCAAATGTAGCTGGTGATCAAAGGATATTTCTACATAAATTCTCTTAGCTCTTCATATGTCTGCTTTTACTCCTTAGGCATTATTGGCTATGGTTGTACATAGACATCGATTTAATTAATTTTTGTGTTATCAAGCATATGTATACCCCTAAATCTGGTATAGATTTATTTGATGTTTGCATATCCAGAAATGTTATCAGTTTACACCATAGCAAAGACTAAAATATTTTTAAATTATATTGAATAATAATGTATTGTGTAAATGTATAAATACCCAATAGCATATATAATTGTGTTCCTGTTTTTAGAATAAAATAAGAGTTAACCAATGATTTACCTCACACTTTTTTGCTTGATAGGAAGAAGAAAAAATCCCAGTCAGCTATCCTTCCCTCTTCAGCCACATAACTTCCTCATTCCTGAACCATCCAGTCTTTCCAATGGTAGTAAAAGAGAAGTTCTCTTCACCCACCTTTGAGCTGCTGAGTGAATTCCGTCTATTGGTATCATCGTTGCCTTGTGACATCCACCTGGTTAATCTGCGGACAATACAGTCAAAGGTACATCTCGAAGTATATGGATAAAGTATATTTTGCTTGATATAAGGGGTAAAGGGAGGGATGGAAAAATACTAGAAGGTTTACTGTGCCCTTAAGAATGACTGGGGGCTTTTTATCCAAAATCACAATGCCTTTCAGCGATTGTTACTCTAGTTCAGTACATAGCCCAGTACTAATTTATCTGCCTTCCGAAATATTCTATGTTTGTTTTAGCAAGTGTTCATTTTACTATAACAGCCTAAAGGAGGGAGAGAGATAATCATTTCCTGCTCTCCTGTGCAGGAAATAAATGTTGATGACTCCTCATTTTATAATGAATTCAGAAGCTGAGTTGTATACCTGTAGTCCTAGCTACGCAGGAGGCTAAGATCTGAATTTAAATGCTTGAGTAGCTAACAAAGCAAGCCTAGAGAGAAAAGTGTGTGACTCTTATCTCCATTTATCTACCAAAAAGTTAGAAGTGGAGGTATGACTCAATTGGTAGAGCAACAGCCCTGAGCAAACTAAGCCTAGTGAAGGTTGAAGGCCCTAGGTTAGAGCCCTAGTAGCAACACAAAACAAAGCAAAAGCAATAATTCAAAACAACAAAACAAAAACAGAAGCTGAGGTTGGCCTCTGTTAGGTAGCAGGACCAGGTAGATCAGCTCTACTGACTCCGTATTTATCAGGAGTTAAGAGACTCATGAAGCATGATACTTCACTATTTGTACAGGAGGGGCTTTGAATTTTTGGTTCTTTTTTTCTACAAAATCATTGCAAATCAGACCTTTGTATTAAGAAATCAAGTATTTCGGAGAATGTTGGAGATAAACTATGGGAGGTTTTAATAGGTATGAAATTTAATGGTTAGACTGCTTTCATTTATATATATGTCCATTTTTGAAGTCAAAAGGCTTCCTTTGAGACATAGATGGCTTCAGAACAACCTGAAGACCCCAAGGACTTGGGGAATGGATGGCCACTGTTCCTTGATCTTGTAATGGTTTGAAATGTGTGTGTTTTCTGGGAGCACCTCAAACTGACTAGAATCAGTGAGTGTAGTGTCAATTTTCCCTGTATAATCCAACAATGCCACTTATTTTCCAAGTCACTTGTTTTTAGTGGCAACTTCCTTGCATTCTTCCTGCTGTTAGTTTTTTTTCCTATAATAGAAATTTAATTTCATTCCTAATTAACAACCCCATTGCCTGCCAATTAAGTTGACACCCTGGAGCATTCAGGCCATCTAGTCTAGACTGCACTCACTTCAGCCACCTGGCTTCTTGCTGCTCCTGTCACCTTTGCACAGGTGAACCCGTGGCCCATCCTCACTACCCCCTGGCTGAGAGACTGCTAACTTAGCTACTGTTTGTCAAATATGACTGTATCAGGTATCCTGATATTAGGTCTTTTGTAAGGAAGAAAAGAAATCTCACTGGAAAATCTCACTGCCTTTAAAGGCAGAAATATATGTTGTTATCCTGAAACTGCTTACAGTGTAGGCAAACGTGTGCAAATGGAGATTTGTAATAGCGCGATTTAACAATATGGGAATCTTACTAGGAAGAAGAAAGATTGAAATGTTAATTGCTATCAGTACTATGCTGACACATAATTAGAACTAAATATTTGGCGTTGTTTTGTGTTATCACATTAGCTGTTGCCAGTTCCTGTGTTAACTTTTGACTTTTAGTACATACGTGTATTTGAAATGGTTACAAAAGCCCACTCAAAGTACAAGAAAAGATAGAATTGGTCCATTCAAAATGACTTCTTTTGTTCCCTTACCTTTGAAAAAAGAAAGATAATCATTCATTAAAGGTGAAGTATGTAGTCATTCAAAGAATGATGTTACTTAAAAGATTCCCAGTGTGGGCTTGACATGTGGCTCAATGGTAGACCACCTGCTTTGAAAGCATAAGGTCTTGAGTTCAAATCTCAATACCAATGTGTGTGAGAGAGAGAGCAAGAGACAGAGAGAGAGAGAGAGAGAGAGTAAAAAGAGAGAGGGAGGAAGGGAGGGAGAAGGAAGGAGAGAAAAAATGAGATATTTATGTAATTCCATGGTTAATCTAAAAGAAGACAAAAATGACTCAGTGAATAAATTCAGAAACTAAAGCTAAGCATTTTAAATCATGTTTCTGGTTTGGCGTGCTTGTGATAACTTTCAGTATACAAATAATGGGTATTTATTTAGGGGTTGCAATTCATTTTTTCTCTCAAAGGACGATCAAAATAAACATGACCTGTATGTAATTATGCATTTTTCTCATCCATGACAAGAGTACATGTCTCTACTTGCCTATCACCTCCATTATGAAAAAGGTTGCGTTGACTGATCCCTCAGTCCAGTGTCTGAAGGTGCCTCAGTTCTAAACCTCACTTGGTCTTCCTAATTCCTTGTGGGTAAAGGACTATGAATTTAGGCACAGTGAGAGGTCTAGGTCAGGCTGGAGGTGTGATAACTGACAAGGTGGTCTGCCTTCCAGCAGCCAGTCTCCTACTCACTGTGCCTAGATCATGCCAGGGAGATTTCAGAAAGTAGAGACTTTGACAAATAAACCCATGTCAAAGATGATTGTCTCATAGGTGTGAAAACCTCAAATTTATAATTAATGAGTCTTAGAAACTTTCCATTCGATTTCAGAAATTGCTGTTATCTCCATTATCTGTTATCTGTTTCTCAAATCTAGTTTGTCATAATTTTTCCTATTTTAGTGGATGAATTTGTGTTTTTATGTAAGCATACGTTGATTTTTTACTTTATATCTGCCTTGGGGAAATGATTTATAATCAGGTAAAGGGGGAACAGTTATCTGAAGGCCTGTCCACAGCATATTGTGTGGCCTCGCCCATTCTAGCTCCTGTCTAGGAATTTGACAGCTAGACTCCTCATCCTGTGTGTTGCTTGTCCTCTCTTCTCTCAAATTGTCTTCTCTGCTTCACTCCCTTTTCTTTACACTAGCAAGAGATTAGATAGTATAAAGAAGTTTCTATAAAGATTTGAAACTAGGGAACAGAAACACTGCTCACTACACTGAATAGGAAGGCCATGATATCAGAAATTTAAAAGAGAGGCTTGGCAGAGAGGATGCTGAGAAAATCCCATGGAAAGAGAGATCCTGAGTCAAAGTTCTGAAGGCTGGAGCTGCAGGTAGCCTAAAATAGAGTTGAGAACCTAGCCAAGCATTCAGTTTGTCTTTGTGGTGACATTCTACCTTACGTGTTGAAAAGTAGTGTGAAGTTCAGCTTTTTTTTTTTTTCCTAGATTACTTCCACTGATTTTATCATCTGATATTTTCATTTAATTTACACATACATAACACTTTTATCTCTCCTTAATACCTGTGAGATTTCTTTTGATTTGTGGGTAACCATTTGCAGATAGAAAAACCAATCATTTCACCTTCCATACCACTTTTCAAATGAGTCTCCTCTCTACTTGTTTAGCCATACTTTCTCTTCTTATAAATAGCAATTTCAGATTTTTTACTTTGTTTTGCCTTTGTTATAAGAATTGATTAGTGGTTTATTGATCCTCCCTAGCTTCTGGGGAAGGTGAAAATTATGGGGAAAATTTTCCTTTGTTGTAAGTATCTGTGAACAACTATTCACCTCCCTTTTCTTTCTGTCATCTTATCTTGTGGATCAGAACAGGGATAGCTATTATTGGACATTTTAATGAATACCTTCAAAAATGAGTTTCTACTGGTTATTTCCTGCCTCAGAATTCATAACAAAGTGTGACTTTCTAACCTTTCCAGTTGCCAGAATGCACGAAAGATAAGTGCTGGTAGGCATTTGCAAAGAATCTGAGTGGCCCAGAGTATTTATTTAGCAGGACCTTAATCAGGAAAGTGAAACTTTGAAGTTTAAAGGTAGGGGCGAGAGATGTTGTTACACTGGGCAAATGTAGTCAGAAGTAAGGCCTCCATTTTCCAAAAAAACAGTAGGTTTACTACATACAATTCATGATAGGTTGCCTATTGGTGGTCCTCATGTTATCAGTGCACAGATCAAATTCCTTTTGGAGTAAGAGTGGGGTGGCACCCATCCCCCCACCCTCAGAAGAGATTCTCATACAATAGTGGAATTTTCAGAATGGGCTTTCAGAGACAATGGATATAAATGACCATCTCCAAATCTTTTACTCTGCTGAGATCTTTGGCCAAGTACTCCCTTTCGTTATTGAGTGGGTGGTATTGGGGTGTGAACTGTGGGCCTGTACTTGCTCAGTTTGCTTGCCCAGCTGGTGTTCTAACACTTGAGCCATACCTCCAGTCCTGCACTTTGTTGGTATTTGGAAGACAAAATCTCAAGGACTTTTTTACCCAAGCTAATTTCAAACTGCCATTCTCCTGAGTAGCTAGAATTATATTCATGAGCCACTAGCATCTGACTGAAATACTTCCTTTTCCCAGCCTAAACCAGAAGCATAGCTTCCTTTAGTTAAGCATTTTGCTTTTACACATCAAATTAAGTTCCATGAGTTTGTTGGGTATTGGTAGCTCATGCCTACAATCCAAGTTTTTACTCAAGAGGCTGAGATCAAGAATCAGTTTAAAGCCAGCTCAGGCAGGAAAGTCTGTGAGGCTTGTATCTCTAACCTTGACTAGCAAAAATCCAGAAATAGAGCTGTGCCTCATGTGGTAGAGGTAAGTGCCCAGGCCCAGAATTCAAGCCCTAATACCAGCAAACACACACACACACACACACACACACACACACACACACACACACACCACACACACACACACCACACACACACACACACACACACACACACACACACACACACACACACACACACACACACACCTATTGTAATGGATTTTCCCTAAGACTATTGAACATTTAAGCCTCATTTCTGTGACTCACCCACCAGTGTGGCCTAATGTGATTGATGAAGACACTTATCCAGACAAGTGCTTAGCAGATGTCATCTTTTCATTTTCTTTTTGTTCTTCCCATACCTCTCTTATTTTTCTGAGGTTCAGATAATACTAATGTGTTAGTAAATG